TCCGGAGCGACCGGAACCACGGAGCGACTGGCGGCTACCACCCCTCAACCCGAGGATATGGAAATATCCCCGGAGGAGGAGGCACAGCTGTTAGAAGGTGCGGGCACACACCTGGCTGACCACGAGGACATGGACGTCAGTCAACTATTCTTTAGCCCCCCAACATCACCCAACCACGACTAGACACCGCCAGGGCCACGTCCGCTGAACACAGCCGGAAAACGTGCCCGCGGACAAGTGTCTACTCCCACCACCCTCCACTCATGAACCTCCACAACTACCTCCACACCCTGAACAAACCATAACACCGGTAACGGCCGGAACACCAACGCCGTTGGCGGTTTGGGGGGGGAGTATGACGCGGTCCCGCGCAAAATCTGTTTGAATTCAAACAGCCTTTGCGCGGAAGCCGCGCCGCGGCTTCTCAATCAAACCGCCAATCGACGACGGACGACGCCGGCGCGCGACACGCGCGCCTGGAACCGTCGGCCGGCCGTCCAGCGAACCGGATTGTCAAGGCGCGCTCTCTCGTCTTCCCGACACCGTCCGGTACACACCCGAACCCACACCCACGTTCCGTGTATTTCGCTACCGGTTCCCAACTGAATAATCTTTTGTGTTTTGTAACAATAAATACTTAAGTGACACCTCATTGCGTCGTTCGTTTGTTCGTTGTGTTTTAATAATCCTTTTTCTATTATCCCGTTTGTTGTTCCGACCCGACTGTCTCCGTCGGTCACCACCATCACCTCACCACACCACGCGGCTCAACATAAGTCCGCGTCATACTTTACGAAAACCTTTTTTAAAATTGGAGTATAATTTAATACGTTGATTTTTTTAGTTGGACTATTGTTGAGAAAGTCAGCAATTTCATTTTCAACTAATACATTCCGACTTTTTTTTGTTGAGGCCCACGAATATTAATAGTAATTATATTCTGTTCAAACTAATAAAATATGTATCTGTTATAATACTATAGTTATACATGGTCTGTTCTCTATACTATATTACTATTACTTTTTTTCTAATAAAAATTTATTTACACTAAGTTTATAGTATTTAAATACAAGTATTTACATTTCGTTAAAAATACTTTTAAAAAGTATTCAGAATACTTAAAAAATACTTAAAAAAAAATGTATTTAGAATACCAAAAAATACTTCAAAAAGTATTTTAATACAAGTATTCAAATACTTGTATTCGAATACTTTACAAGACTGAATATTATTACTATATTAAATATGTGTAATAAAGTAAAAACTAATAATTATTAAATAATAATATTATAATATCATATTATCATATAAATGCTGATAATAATATAGGTACATCATATACATTATATTATATTTGATAAGTGATAACATGGCACGTAAAATGGTGCGGCTCCACATTAGTAATTTTTGCCACCGGAATTGAGGCATTGGTTGGCTCTTCTAAATCACTGGCCTCATTGGAGTACAGAAAGACGGCAATGTAAAAAACAGGGATGTACTGACAAAACGATTACTCAGTGTGAAAAATTCGAGGTATATTTATGCTACGGAAAAGAAAAAACATGTTTTAAAATGTACCATACAACATAATTAAGTACTTATTTATTAATATTTATAAAGAAAGTTAATTTTTTTTTTTGTTTTGTTTTGGTATATTGTTATTTATACAGAAATATGTTTATATATATATGTTATATATGAAAATATGATTAATATTTCAGTATTATTAATTATTTATATACCAAGTTAAGAAAGTTTTAAATTTTTTTTTTCTATTTAAGTCTAAGTAAAATATTATTACGTTTTTCAAAAATTAAAATTGATATTTTATATGGAATTCTTTTTGTTTTTTTACAAAAATCTAAGTTGTCATAGTATAGTATAGTATAGTATAGTATAGTATAGTATAGTATAGTATACCTATTATTATGCAATGTTTAAAGATACTTAAATAATTCACATTTAAATGTGACAATCACAGAGTCAGACATGTTCCAATTTTTTTATGTAGTAACTGTCCAGTCATCCATTTTTAAAGGAAGGAACCAAGGTATAACTTGTAACTTATATGTCTACCTACATAAAATATAAATACCTAACAAATTATTATTGATCATCATTCATAACAGAATGGCATAGAAGTAATTTAAAATGAATAGGTCTTATAATATATAATATAACTTACTTACCTATCTCAGAAGTTTTGGCTTAGTAGACACCACAATAATAAATCGTGGTAGGCACACAGGATACAGCTAAATGCTAATCACAAAAATCCGAACATAAATTGTATTCTTGTTGAACGTGAGAATAACGGTAGTTATTATAGAGAATATAGTACTGTACAAACCAATAATTCAATTTACAATTAATAAAATTAGTGATTGTTGTAGACGGTAGGCAACGGAAAACAAATTTGGTGGGATGTGCGGACGTGCGGACGGTCACTGTGGGTGGCGGATAAAACAGTTTATCACGCGTCTTGGGAGAACCGAGAAACACTTATAAATAGAAACGAATAATTATTATTTCAACCCAAATTCGATAGCTGACTTCTCGTCATAGCCGTCCCAAAGGAGGGGGGGGCAAATGGGGCAAGTGCCCAAGGGCGTCTAAAGTATTATGAATTTAGGGGCGTCATAAAAATGAATGATAAAAAGAAAAAATTGATGTTTTTATTTTAGGTATTATTTTTCTTTTTATACTGTAATATAAAAGATGATTATCTATCAAATTGTATACTATTAAATATAAAATTATGTAAATGTGTTAAAACTTAATGCGACATACCTTCAATAATATATAAATATATATGTATTAAATAATAATATATTCAAAATCCTTAAAATCAAATAAAAATATTAATACTTATAAGTTATAAGACTACAACAGTAGTTTATTTACATGCAATATATTTTAAATAATATGTATACACATCATTAAAATAATTAAGTACCTAATATACTTATAAACTAAAATAATTCATATTTTTGGTAGTATTAAATCTTTGGTCCCGGGTAGAAAGGGCATAAGTCAATTTGATCAACTTTTTGAGACAGCAGTAACAATGTTTGAAAGTTCATTATATCCTTAGATAATTAAGGTATTTTTATTTTGTATATATTACATTCCTAATACATGTAACCATTAAAATTCTTGATACTTTGAATATTTAACGAGATAACTGTAGTTATGCCCTTTTGATTTCACTAGTTTTGACTTAAGCCTTTTTGTCCACGACTTATGCCCTTTTGATTTCTCTTTTACTGACTTATGCCCTTCTTGTCCACGACTTATGCCCTTTTGAGTTCACTTATTTTGACTTATGTCTTTTGTACATGACTTTTCAGATAAATAAATTATCAGATAAAAATATCACTGAACAGGTACACTAATTTCTAATACATAGAATATAGTAATAAACTAATAACCAATAATTATAGTATATTCGTTTATTATTTTTAGTTGTAGGAAATGAAAAAAAAATGTATTACTTTTACAACTCTCAGATAGGTACTCACTCATAAAGTACCTACACTAATACAATAATGGCAGTTGGCACCTACAGTATTATAGAAATAAAATTAATACAAAACATTATAATTGAAAAAAAAAATATATTAAGAACATTAACAAACTTTAAGTGACTCATCAAGTACACTAAACTAATTCAACATTTTGAAGAAATAATAACAGTATAAAATAATATTATAATAATTGAAAAAAAATATTAAGAACTTTAACAAACTTCAAGTGACTCATCAAGTACACTAAACTAATACATTAAAAAAAATTAAAACAGTATAAAATATAATATAATATAATATAATTGAAAAAAAAATGTTATTATATTATTAAAATATTACAACATAATAAAATTCAAAACTGTTTAATGAATCACATTATTAATCACTTTCACTCAAGTCTGGGTCATATACCTACTCATGAAGCATCTTCATTTTGATCGTCCTTTAAATTCTTATAAAATGCATGATAAATATTCGGTATTAATGGTAGTAAGTCAATTAAATCTTTTTTTTTTTTTTGAAATAGGTAATAATGGCCTATCATAAGCTGGATCTAATGATATAATATTTGCCATATTTTTTAAACCTCTTCGAATCATATTTAAAGTTTTAAATTCCTCTTCTTCACTTAGACTGGTTTTATACAATAGCTTACCCAACATTGATGCACAGTATCTGACCCATGAAACATCATGCCAAATAAACTTATTGCCATCTTCATTAAGGTCCCCACCCACTGCAGCGGTGGCGGTGGCGGTGAATTGCTGTAGGACACATTTCACCGCTCACCGCGGCGGTGAAGCCAAGACAATAGAATTTAACGCCACCGCTGCAGTGTGTGGGGACCTTAAGGGTCTTTCTCATAACTAAAGAGCCTTTTACACTTACCAAAGTCATATATCGTCACTTAAGATGCAATACCTCATATCTCATTTTTCTCAACTTTTCAGAAGAGTAATAAAACTGGTTTAAATGGAACTAATATGACTTTCTATAATATTTTAATTTTTTTTATAATCGTGGAGTTGTCTTTTTACCTTAGAAAAGTTAAAAAATTTAATAATATGTAAATCGAAAAAAATTCCTGAGATAGCTTGTGTTGTCGTTTGTAAACGTTAGATAAATATAGTTGTCTAATTAATTTAACATACATTTTTGTATAATACTATTTAATATTAATGATTCTAGGTAACACTACAGGTTATTTATGAAAAAAAAAAACAATTTAATAAAATTAAATGAAATTAAATGAAATTTAACTTTATAAATTAACATAAAAACATATTATTGTTTAATAAAATGAACAACAAAATAAAAAATTTATAAAAATGTTCCTTTAGTCTTAAGTTTAAAAATCACAATATGTTGCAGTTAAGATTAATTTACTTTAATTAATAACAAATACATAAAAATCAATACAAAATAATCACTAATACATTAATATTGCTTGTGATATTGCTCTCGGTACTTTGGTTATTTCTTTTTTTTCTTCTTGGCACCTTCAATTTCCAAAAAAATGTCCTGCCTCTGCTTTTCAATATTTTGCTGTTGTCGTTTTAACATTTTTCTACTTTCATTTTCGCAAGGTATATTATCATAAAATGAGTGCGTATCAGATGGCATCATCCCCTTTAAAAACTGTAAATCATTCCATTTGTCAAGGGGTATTTTAGCTTCTGAAGTGTACAGGTTTGGAAATGAAGAAATTGATTGCACTTTTTTTGGCCTGCCTGGTAGTTCTTTTAATTCATCATCGAAATTGAGCTTGTAATATATAATACCATTAGGTTCATATTGTAGCATACGTAGATCAGTTACAGTCGGATCACCAGAGCTTCTTCCAGGACGTATAGAGCTGTATATCATGTCTTGACTGTAATTTTTAAAGAAACTGTAGTTCAACAATTTTGCACGGTATGGCATAGGAAGTTTCCTTGCAGTTATTGAATGAACTACGAACTGACTAGGCGATACACATCAACGTTTTTGTACTGGCGTTCTATAGTGCTGTGTACACTATCACACTCCATTTGAGTGTGCCCTTTTTCCAGATACTTTTGGATGATCGTTACCTTTTTGGACATACTCAAATGTAGTAGTGCATTTGAGAGCACTGAATTTCGGTTCTGATAACAGCACCCGTCTGAATACCTATATAATAACCGTTTTCGATGACTTGTTCAACAACTCATTTATATAATCACATAGGCACGATGCAAATGTGGTAGCGCTATGTGAGGTCTGTGTTTCATCAAACCAATATGCCATTGCATCGTGTGTTGTTAAGTCATAAACTATGTAATTGTGGGCTGTTAATTTCAATTTATAGTATGCTGCACTAGCTTTAATATAGAGCACAGTTTGAACGGCCATTAAATCGCAACATATAGTGTGACATTGTTTATTTTGAGCAGCAACTTTGTCGTTATTTTTTTCATTACGTGCAGCTTCTTTCTTGGCCAGATGCTTTGAATAGACCTCTTCAGAAACCTGCTTATTCTCGTAACTGAAACAAATGTCACACTTGTCCTTTTTAGGGATGAATATTTCAATATTCTTCTCTCTCTTTATTTTATCAAATGAAAACCTTGACATGGGTGCTTCAACATTTTCTAAGCATTTAGTTTTGTACATTTCATACAATTGACTCCAAGATTTTATGTCTGTTTGCAAGAAAAGCTTCTTTGAATTTTTTCTGCAATAATGGGATGGTAGTGTTGGTAAATTATCAAAAAAGCTGGTCAACGTTAGAAGCTGTTGGTCCGATCTTTTTTTCTTCATTGGAGGTTTAGTTGTTGACGTGAGATCTTCATCAACAAATAAATCGGCCTCATCACTATCTTCTTCATTTTCTTGCGGAAAACGGGTTGAGGCTTTTTTCACTGGCATATTATTTTCATGGAAGTTTGCGAGCCAATAGTGAACTTCAGATTTTTCAAACCCAATGTCTGAAGGTACATTAGTTGGCAAACTGGTACTCTTTTGTCATGAACTTTCAGATAATAGAAGTAGCTAGAATTTCTTTTTGAATTATTGTTTCCTGTAGTTTTCTGTTTTGTTTCTTTAATTTCAACCGTCGAACAAACGTACATTCTCTTGGAATCCCAAGACATATTCTTCCAAAAGTCGTTGAAGAGAAATTGGCGATCTTCTTCGCTTACAGAATCACAAAGCCTAGTAATCCATTTTTTGCAGACTGGTGATTGACAAGGAGGCCCCATAACCCGAGCGGCTCGTTGAACATCTTGAAGTATTTTATTTGTATTCTTTGCATCCGCCCTCCTAAAACCTATGTAGGATTCTCCTCGCATTATATTCGTTTGTGCTTTACTACGAGTCCATGTTTCTGGTTTTGCAACTCTCTTCCTTTCTCTGAGGATATTATTAGATTCTATATTAATTGTGTTATTCTCAATGTGCGTTTCATCAGCTGGTGGATTTTCTTCAACTATAGGAACTTCAGTGTTAGAAAAATTGTCGTTGGCTATAGGAATATGAGAATAAAAACTAGTTTGGCAGTCTTGATTAACTGATAAATTAATATTACTTAGGTCATCAAATTCTTTAAGAATTCCATCTTCCAAATAAAGAATGTCCAGGTTTTCTAAATTTAGGTCATCAGAAGTAACCAATTCGTAAGATGTTTGAGGTTCAACAGAATTATTGGATAATATATTATTATCATTATCTATGATATTCATTTTATTTTTGTTGTAATTTTTTGATTTCACGTGTAAATTGTTTTTTAGTACCGAGTTTCTGCCTCCTACTTCATTCAAACAACCAAATATTTCGTCTACAGTGAACTGATTATCTGTACCATATGAGTCACTATCACTCAACATGTCTATAAGAAAATATTACAATTGAGGGAAACATAAAACTAACAATATAGTATAATAATTATTTATTTTCGTTATAGTAACTGCCAATTTTTCTACACTGCTTGTATAAACAATAAAAATATTTAAAATTGAAATATTTTAAAAATATTATATTATATTAATCAATACTAATTCGAAACGAGTTAAAATATAATATTAATGTATGTATACCATCGTCATAGGCGTGCGCAGACTTAAATTTCTGGTCGAGCTTAGGCAATTATAGTACCATAATATTTAGACAACGTCTCTATTTTTTTTTAACATATCAACATGTATGTTGATGTATTAACCTATTAATGTCTATAGTACTTTAGTTATTGTATATTTTGTATAATGTTTGTATAATGTTTTTGTTAGATTAATAAAATGTATGTAATGGTAGCCGGTAGATACAAGCAAATATTTTTGATTTTATTATACTTTCACGACAAAAAAATGTCCATGATATCAACAAACATATTATTATAATATAAGCATTATAATAAAATATATACGCACATTTTACCATGCCCCTACGGCTCGACCCGTGCGCACGCCTATGATTTTTGTGTAGTCATGTTTAGAATGTACAGTCTAATCTATATAACAACAGTGGCTATCTCAATTAACTTAAATGTATAACACTGGCTATCTAAACCACATTTTTGACAAATCATTTGTCGGTGTGTTAAACTAAAATATTTTACAAAATTAATAGTATGTTATATCTCATCCTAAAATAGATGTGCTAATTTAGTTCAAACATCAATACCAACATGAAATAATAACGGAAATACGCTTACCTTCACCGGAACTCATTTTTACAGCTGGGGTAGACCTGATAAACACTGAGATAGCCACTGTTGCCAAAACAATTTAGATAGCGACTGTTATCGTTTTTTCGATTAGTGCGTTATCTATTATTTTTATCCTACATTTGATACCATCAGTCGATTCGGCGCGAAATTTTGAATAAGACAGTGTTGCTAACTCAATTTGACCAAAATGTGAGATATCTGGTGGTGCATCTTAAGTGACGATATTTCACTTTGTTTCATTTCATCTACATGAAATGCACGGAAAAAAATATTTAGCTAAGTTAACCAAAATTATATTTATTTCAACTATAAAAAATAGTTGCCTGGGGGACAGCTATACAATTAGCACATGTTACTAATATGATTTAGTTGAAAAATTATAGTTGAAATAGCAATACGTATTATAGTTGAATTACAAAACTATCCACAAAATAATAGCCATTTCTA